TCCAATCTGTACATGCATTCCTCCCTAAGTCATGTCCACACCTCTGATTCCGGGATCATTTCATCCTGCCTTTCCTTCCTCAAGTCCATCTGAAATGGAGCCACTAAAACAAGCAGACCTGTTCTGCCTGCCTTCCCAAGAGAGGCACTCTCCCAAAAGTCATTAGGGAAGGTATCTCCCTAACAGAGATTGGTCTGTAGCATCGAAGGACATCGCTTGATTGGTGACATGGGGTCTTGTCATTCTTTTTTCTAGATACAGAGGGAAGACATACAGGGCGACTGTTAAGATTGTGCGGACCTCGGATCAGGTGGCGGATTTCTGCAGAAGAGTCTGTGCAAAGTTGGAGTGCTGCCCCAACTTGTTCAGTCCTGTTCTGGTGGCTGAAGTCTGCCCAGAGAACTGCTCCATTCATACTAAAACCAAGTACAGTGAGTATTGGCCAAAATGCTTCTTGGTGCTAGCTGGGGATCAGGACGGTGGGAGACTGTGCATGAGCTAGTGATGGAGAACAGGAGTTGTGTAATGCATTAATAGTGAGTGGGATTCATCTCATCTAGGAGCAATTAATCCTGACCAGGCCACCACAGGCTCCCTCAGTATTCTGTACAGAGAAGTAAGCATCTCCAGAAAACTGTCCATCTCTCTCCATCCTAATATATCTGTTTGAAAGTCATTACTTTTTGGAAGTCTTGACTTTTCTTCGTATGTAAAATTAACATAAGGAGCACATAAAAGGAGCCTGCAGTGGCCAGCTAAGATTTAAACTGCTACATCTGAGACAGCTTCCTTAAGTGACATGAACTCTCAGTGAAGAGTTTCTGGCATACGCACCAGCACAGGCCAGTATCATGGTTCTGAGGTGCTGGAAGGAGTTTTGGAGCATTGACTTTCTCTGCTCAGGGTGTTTAATGTTTAAACATGTTCCTACCTATTCAGGAAGGCTGAAGTTAAGCATGTGCTCAACATTTTTGGTTGTCCATGTTACTGATAATGGCTCTTGAACTGGTCAGGAAAAAGTGGAAATGAGTGCTATCCTTCTTCCACACAGGTTTCAAGAAACCAGTATGATTGATTTAAACCAATTAGCTTCTGTTTGGCACCAGAGCAGGAGGGGAAATGGGCTCAGGGAGATATTCAGACCATTGAATATGGGTTTCTGTAGAAGTCCACACCTGAGCTAGACTCCTGGCTCCCACTGGCAGCAAATAGAGATCTGGAGGAGTACAGCTAGGGGAGACAATCTCCAGCTGAAATTTCATCTCAGAGTTGATGGTTGTATGTGACTGGATGAATTGTTCCTCAAAACTCCATTGATTTGATGAAATGCTCAGTTCAGTTACGAACTTTGACATGGGTGCCAAGTGCCATTTTAGTTGTCCCTGACGAAGGGCAGCCCCGGAGGATGCTGTAGAGCATGTCAAAGGCACCTAACACAAGCTTCTAATGTAAGGTCAGAGGACTCTCACATTTTTAATTTCAACTTGGGCCATGAAATAGTCGAAGGTAATAAAAACCCATTCCTTTGTGCATTGAACAAATGCAGATAATTCAGGATCACTCTCCGCTCTCTGCTGAAAACGTTCACAACTGAAAGTCTATCTAAGACTGTTAACTCATGCTGAAGGGCATTGGATTAAATCGGAAACGTGCTAGACCCTCTCCCTCCAAATCTCTGCTCAGCTTAGTGGAAGCTTTTCCTAAGTACACATTGTAGGGTTAAATTCTGAACTCCTCATTCATCACCAATAAATGTGTATGCGTAAGATCTGTAACACTCTGCGCTAGTCCAAAATGATATCTTATATTTACACTGGCGGTTTTTTCCAAATTAATGTATTTTAAAGTTCCTCGTAAAAGTGCACCTAGAGTGCAGTACTGAATCAGTAGGAAGAAACAAGCCAAAGTTTCCTTCTCTAAGTAGTTAAAGGTTTTAAAGAGTGTTTTGCTTCATTTCTCCAGCTTATTATTATGGGAAGAGGAAAAAAATCATTAAGCCACCGATTGGGGAAAATAACAACATGAAAAGTGGACATGTGAAGCCAGCCAGACGCAGAAAAAGGCGGAAATCCATCTTTGTGCAGAAGAAGAGGAGGTCGTCGGCTATCGATGCGAATGCTGCGGGCTCTGCAGAGGTACATGTTGCACTGGGGTAAATCAGCAAAAGCCCCTCGGTGCTTTTCTCTCCCCGCATCTGCACCTTCCTTCTGAGGGACTTCTCAGCAAACCTCAGCACTTCCATTTTCCATTTTGAATCCCTCCTTGCTGCTCTGTTTTCCTAAGGTCAGACTGGTTTTATTGGGATGCTTTGGGGGCTTTTACCCTTGCCCATTCTAGAGTTAGCAAATAGAGTTTTGGTTCCACCTTTGTAATGCTTACTAGCTAATGTGCTGTCTAATATTATATATTTGTTTTCTTTTGCTGCCTTATAAGCCTGTAGGCAGGCAGATGAGCCTGTTAGATGCTTTGTGCAGCATCTAGCAGAGTGAAGGAGGTCTGTCATCCATGTCTAAGGTCTCTAAATCTTATAATAAATAAAATTAACTCTCAGGCAATTATGGTTTCAAGGGCTTTTATTTTTTCATTAACCATTCTTGATATTCTTTGTTCACAACATCAAGCAGTAGATGTTCTAGAAGCTTTAGAAAGCAAGAAAATGGTTTGTGTCCCAAATATGTGGTATTTGAGGCCTCAGTCTTTTCAGTATGCTGTGTGAAGTGATGGGATCCCAGCTTCAGCAATGATTTGTGACTAAATGCAACCTGGAGCAGACTTAGTTCTGTGTGGCCCATTCCTGGGTGGTTTTCCCGTGATAGCAACACCAAAGTTCATGTGTGGTTTCCCTTCTTCTGCTGAGTGTCAGTGATTGCTGCTTGGTGCAACGTGAAATAAAACTAATTTACTTAAATTCTCTCTACTTCAGCTGGAGGGGGTTATTTTAGTCAGCTTTCAGTTGATTGCTTCCATCTTCATGACTTTGTCCTCATTTAGGTGCAGTTCTGCTTCATTTCCTTAGATTATACCTGCTTCAAAGGAATTTATACTGAAATAAACTCATCTTAAGCCTAAATCAACCATTAGCCAATTTTTTCAACCTTTCAGCCAATATAACTAACTTCGTCTAAAATTGCTCTTTCACTGAGCATATGGCTTGGATACATGCTCACACTTTGATCAGAGCAAAGCTGTCAAAGCCATTTGGGCCATTTTTGTATATATAAAGTTCAAAATACACAGTTTCCATAACTTGGTGTGTGCTTGCAAGCTCTGTGTGACAGAAATAACAGGAATCTGGCATAATATCCTTTAAATGGAAATTTGTTCTTCACTTCTAGCCGTTAGGTGTTGGACTGAAGTCAGGGAAATCTGGGTGAAATTGTTTGTCCTGAGTTTTACAGAAATGCCATCTAAGAAACCAAGTACAAGTATACACTTGTACATCTAGATGTTTTTAAATGGCACCAAAATTTCCTTCCTTTCAGTACTAGAGACACCCATGACAATTTGAAGCAAGGTGAAGGTTTAAATTCAAGCCTAGTTGTGATTTTAGTTCATCTCAAACAAGCTGAGTTTCGTTTCATCCTTTTAGTATTTTCCATTTCCCCTTCTCACACACATCTGCGGTGCCACAAGGTTTGAGACACCGGCCCAACAGAGGAACATTTCATGCTTGATGAGTTATGGCTGTTGACCTTTTGTTGGAAACAGAAAAAAGGATTTGCCCATCATGTATCTTTTTTCTTCTACATTTTGTAACAAATCTAAATTGAGGGCTAATCTGCTTAGCACTGTAATGAAAATGGGATAATTTGGTTAAAATAAATGTTATCCAGGACCAGCATGGGCACAGGCATGCAGTTTGACCCAAGTGCCTTTCAATTTGTATTAATCTCCGAGCCTGGATGCTGTTTCTCTGATGGTCCTTGTGCAGGAGAGCGAAGATGACGAGCCGGATGTGATGGAGGACGAGACGGGAAGTGAGGAAACCAGCTCAGAGCTCCGGGATGACCAGACAGATACCTCTTCTGCTGAGGTCCCCTCTGCCAGGCCCCGGCGAGCGGTCACCTTGCGGAGCAGCACTGAGTCAGATAGACCTCCTCCCATGGAGAGAGCCCGACGGAGCCGGAGACCGCAGCCCCACTCCTACAGCGAGGCGGAGAAGTGCACCCAAGTCAAGGAAGTGAGTATGCCCGTAGGCTTTCACAGCAATGTTCTTCCTAAATTGCCAGCAGTGTGCCCAGGTGGCCAAGAAAGCCAACAACATCCTGGACTGTATCAGGAACAGTGTGGCGAGTTGAGCCCGAGAGGTGATGATCCCCCTGTACTGGGCACTGGTGAGGCCCCACCTCGAGTACTGTGTCCAGTTTTGGGCTCCCTACCACAAAAAAGACATCGAGGTGCTTGAGCGGGTCCAGAGAAGGGCAACAAAGATGGTGAGGGGTCTGGAGCACAAGTCTTATGAGGAGAGGCTGAGGGAGCTGGGGTTATTCAGCCTGGGGAAGAGGAGGCTGAGGGGAGACCTTATTGCTCTCTACAACTCCCTGAAAGGAGGGTGTAGAGAGGTGGGGGTCGGTCTCTTCTCTCAAGTCACAGGCGACAGGACAAGAGGAAATGGCCTCAAGTTGCGCCAGGGGAGGTTCAGGCTGGATATTAGGAAAAAATTTTTCACTGAAAGGGTTATCAGGCATTGGAATGGGCTGCCCAGGGAGGTGGTTGAGGCACCATCCCTGGAGGTGTTCAAAAGACAGGTTGATGTCATGCTGGGAGGTATGGTTTAGTGATGGTGATGCTTCTTGTTTGTTGTGCGGGTGTCTATTTTTGTCAGTGAGGTTGATGGTTGGACAAGACGATCTTTAAGGTCCCTTCCAACCTAGAAGATTCTGTGATTCTGTAAATTAACCTTCGGTGCCAAGCCTTTCTCATCTGAGGAGGCATCCCCGCCCTGGTTCTCCACACAAGGTAGTTTTCTTCATGAGAGCTTTTTTGTTTTTTTTTTGTAGGAAATGAAGCAAGAAGAAGAAGAGAAGCTCATCCTGGACAGCAATCCATTGGAGTGGACCGTGACTGATGTCGTGAGGTTTATTAAACTGACCGACTGTGCACCTCTTGCCAAGATATTTCAGGAGCAGGTAGAGGTCTTTATGTAACTCCTCTCTTTGTGTCTGTGGTGCTTATTTACATCACACAAAAAAAAAGAGCAGCACATAACCACCTTGCTGACTGGGCTCGGAGCTTTGACAAAGAGATTATGATCAGACTTTAAGTCCCCTCAGGCCAAGCTATAGCACAAATTTTGGCAAGGCATGGAAATCCTTGAAAATTTGAATCACAGACTTGCCAGATCCTCAGAGTACAGAAACACCCCAGGCAGAGTGCTTGTGACAAGCAGGAGGTTTAGACCTTTCTTGTTCATGCCAAGGACCATAGCACCATCCTGGTGTCACACACCTCAGTGTACCAACAGGTAGTGGTTATTTGGTACCTAGCAAGCTGTCTTTCCCGACCACACAGGTTCCACCCTGTTTTAAAATATTGCCCTGGGAAGCAGAAAACTGCTGCTTGAACCTAGAACTGCCTGCCTGAATTTTGGCACCAACATCTAGAGGCTCCACTTACGTAGACACCTTCCCATCTTCATCCCTCTCAAGATCTGGCAGTCAGGCCTTTGGATGACCTAATTTTCAGAGATGCCAAGCATCTCCCCATTAAGCAGATAGGTTTGCAGGACCAGCCAAGGTTTTTTCACCTCAAGTCAGTGTGAACGTGTAAAATTTATATAGAACCAGCCATTACTTGGCTAATGAGCAACAGCCACCGCCGAATGTAAAGGGCAGCGCTAAGAAATCATAGTTAGAAAGAAGCAAGTGTGGTTAATTAGGCCATAGCCAATGGCAGTCAGTGATATGGCCAACTGCACGTTGAACTACCTCTGATTCTTCCCCATGAATAGCTCTGCACCCAAGGGCAGCTGCTTTGGCTGGGAGAAGCTGAGTCTAGAGCAAGGCTGGAACGCTCCATAGCAAGATGCTGTAGTCACTGTGTCGCAGCGTGCTCCGACCATTCGTTAATCAGCCTGGAGTAATGCCAGGGCTTGAAAGCCAACCCTGTCTGTCCTTTGCCAAGGAGTTTTATGGGGACTTTAATCGAACACAGATGAGTGGAGTTTTTCCTTGTGATTTGCAAGGAAGCTCTGATGCGATGGGCTGTGCCATCAAGCTTCAGTGGAGGAAGAGCCTGAGCCGTGGACGGTCCTGATCAAAGCAGTGCTTAAGGTGTCCAGATCCTCCTTGTGTTAAATGCTACCTAATCATGGCCATCCTGGGGAGTTTTTGTTGCCTGTGAGTTACAGTGCTTTTTCTGCACCTAGGCTCTGATCCTCCCTGAGGGGTAAGAAGCAGTTTTGTAGCCTGCTCATCTGCTTCTCAGTCCATTAAAGAATAAGGAGGACTTGAGCTCTTAAGAAGAGGATTATAAAGCCAAAAGAAATCCCTCATAAAATGACTTTGGTCTGGGGTACTAGTTCTTGGAGCGCGATGCATGGATATGCCTGAGGGAAGGATGTGACCTCCAGAGGTCCCTTCCAGCCTACCCCGTTCTGTGATTCTGGGACAGTAGAGATTGCAAGGGCTCAGGGTGGTCCGTCTTGATTGTTCAGCAGCTGATGTGGAACAAGACAGGTCCTGGGTGGATCAGGGGACACGACATGGAGCAAGGCAGACATGAACCTGTGCTGAGAAGATTATGGGCAAAAAGGGATAGGGAAAGGGCACCCCTTTGCAGTGAGACCAGCATCAGTTTCTCCATTCCACTCCCTCCTCTGTCTTCTGGTGTGCTCTCTGCAGCCTCTCCCTTGCCTCAGTTCCTCAGTCATAAAATGGGACTGGTCAGATCTCCATGGACCCTGAAGGGTTTCTGTAGAAGGTTACCCAGCATTTCAGGAGCCCAGAGGGTTTTCCCAATCTGGGAGCAAGGTGAGAGCCTACGAAGACACAGTAGACAATTTTTTAAAAAGCATCAGGTATCCCATAGGAAGAAGATGGGCAGCATCAGAGTGGGAGAAACATCAGAGGACAAACATGCCTTTAATTTTTAGGGCAAACTGCCCTTCTTGCTTCTCCAGACCTGGTTATGCTTTCTGCCTTCCAGAATCCGAAACCAAAACCATTTTCCCTTTCTTTTTTCTTCACCAGGACATCGATGGCCAAGCCCTTCTGTTGCTGACACTGCCCACAGTGCAAGAATGCATGGAGCTGAAGCTTGGCCCAGCCATCAAACTGTGTCACCAGATCGAGCGAGTAAAAGTTGCTTTCTATGCACAATATGCCAACTGACTGCACTTCTCCATTTCTTTCCGTTCTCCTTCTTCTTCCCTCTCTTTTTTAACATTTCACCTTGTTCAAGGGGTTTTTTCTCCCCTCTCCCTTTTCTTTTCCAAGAACCCATGGAATTGGAAGCACTGGGAATTAATCTGTAGGGGAAAAAAAAAAAAGACAACCAACCCACAACAGAAAACTAGCAACAAATTGAACTCATTTTCTGTACTTGTAAAGCACAGTGAAAGACTGGTGGCATCTCTCCCCGTGAGCCTCACCAACCCGTTACGCAGTGGTGCAAGGCCAGCATGGATCAGATGGTTTGTTGTTCATTAAAACAAAGTTATGGATGACAGATGCATTGCCAAGGAGAAGGGTGGGACGTTTCTGGATGATGATGGTTTGTCAAGGTTAATTTCTGGACACGAACAATTCTTTTAGCCATTTCTGACACACTTCTTTCATATTGAAATGTAAGTGATCCTTTGTAGCATCGCCTGGGGTTTACTGCAAATTTGGTCTTAGGGATCAATGAGCTTTTTTTTTTCTCCCACCTCTCCAGTCTTACAAAAGGAAAAAGTGTTGTGCCAGTCATAATGCTGTTTGTTTTACTGATTTGTAAAAGAGGACTCGACCCACGGTGTCAGACAAAGCTGCAGCGAACTGACAGGGGTGCAACAAGACCGAGTGCACAGAAGCACATCCTGAGGTGCACTGGCTGTGCACAACGAGCTGAACATCTCTGTGATGGGATCTGTACAGTGCTGCATTCTTGTGAAGGAACACGAATGCATGAAAGCTTTCATAGTCAAGCCCATCCTCTTAATTCCGAGTCACTTTAAAGGCCTGACTTTGAGCCCCGTGGGGTGAAAAAAAGGTTATTCGGATTTAATGATGAGACTGTTGAAGGAGTGCTGGTTTCATTTGCACCTTCATGAATCTGGTTGCTAAGTGGGAATAAAAAGCATCAATGTTTTCAGGCACCATACACCATGGTGCTTTAGACCAGCTGAGGATCCAGCCCAACTCAGTCTATATAAAGCCCCCATAGTGTCCCGATGACCAGTGAAACTGGGGGCTTGCTTCATGCCAAGCAGAGTAAGCACCGGGGAGGGTGAAGAAATGGGTTGGTCGCCTTGGGTTTCCCTCTGTTGTGTTAATACGAGAAATATTTCCCATTTACTTAGCAGGGATGTATGACCCCGTTAGTCCCACATGTTGAGCCTGAATTTGCTGTAACTTGGCAGGGATCAGTGGCATCACAGTGACGTAAAATTCTCCCAAAAGCAAGAACCATACTGGGGCCAAGTCTGAATTTTGTTCTGACTTTAAGGTGCAAGTGAATCCTTCCCTCAAAAAATGATTTGGGTGGTTCGTGCTGAGTTTTATCCTGATTTCATAGGAAACCACTGATTTCAGGAGGCTTTTGTTCTCAAACTATAAACAGGTGCCTGTTTCCTGGCCTCGGGGAACCAAGCTTGGAAATTGTACACAGCTCCGTTACAGTGCTGTGATGCCAAAGCCCACTCAGTGAAGACATCTTGAAAAAGAAGTGTCATTTCTAGCCCTAAATCAGAAGGCAGTGCTTATGGCCAGATAACCCCCCACCTCAAGCACTTGCCATATGGGTCAGCTAGTCCCACTGACCACGGTGTGCTCAGAAAAACCTACTGGCCAACACCAGGCTGTAGCTGCTGCTTTCTCCTTCATCGATTTCCTCCTTAACTTCTTTGGATTACAGAAAGAAAGCCTCAGAAATAAATATTCTGAACTACATCTGAATCCACCTTAGAGCATGTGTTAGGGAAGAAGTACTGACTCCGTTTGCCATGTGTCACTGGGGACTTTCTAGTCTCTCTTGCAGTGAGTTTCCTGATTTGCCACTGAGGAATGTGATGGGAGCAACCACTGCAGGCTGGGCCAGAACCTGCCATCTCCTGAGACTTCATCAAAAATTTTCTCACGTGGGAGATCAGCAGGACTGGATCCGTTCTCAGCTGTCGTCTTGTACCGAAGAACTTGTTCAAGTTATAATCAACTGAAGGGAAAAGTAGCGTCCTCTGCATCAAATGATCTTTTGTTTCTCGGAAATCCAGGAATAGGGTGCAGTAGTGGTGCAGACATTCAAAAACTGGTTTTTAGACTGAATTTCCTACTGACAATAGCAGTGGACTGTGTCCATGCAACTGGTTTGATAACAACTTTCGATCCCTCTGAGGATCCCCAGAAACGTTGCTCCTTGTTTCATCTCTGAAGACAAAAGGATTGTGCCCAGAAAAATAAGAAAAGCAGGAAGGGTGCTTCTCCCAGCTCCTCCTTGCTTCAGCCCTCCAGTGGCTGATGTAACATCTGTCAGCAGGAGAAAGCTCCCAAAAGACTGCTGTCAGGAGAACGGGCGTACGAGGACATTTCAAGGAAGGGAAGCAGAATAGCTGTTTGATAAACCTCCCAGCACTGATCCTTTGCTTACCACAGCCACCTTCTTCTGAAGCATCCTTTGGTGCTCTGATGTTTTTGGAGTTCCTGGCCACTTAAATTTGTCAGAGACATTTAACACTTTCTGGGACACATTGCAAAAACATCATTGTTTTCTCCATCAACTTTGTAACTGTAGATATTCCTATGGCAGCTAACTACTCATGGAGGCACGGTCGGGGAGCAGACAGCCATAGACTCTGAGGGTGACCATCTCTGATGTTGGCTAAGCAGGGGATGGGTGAAGCGTTGAGCCCAGCACATGGGAGTCTTTACTGATTGTTCAGGGAAGTTAAATCATATTTAAACTCACCTATTAAACAACAACAAAAAAAGAGTTTTAATTTTAGCTTGCGCCGGCTCTTTTATTTCCTCAGGTTTCTCTCTCTCCTCACTATTTGTCTTTCAATTTATTGTTCTTCAGTGTTGTCTCGTTTATCACTCTCTGTCCTTTTGGAGAAGATGATAACCTGAAATTTTTATCCTAAAATTACTTTGGGTAGTAAATGCTTTATTATTTCTTTTAGTCTGCGGGTTGGGAAGAAATAGGGGATTGGGCTACTGTTATCTGTTGCACTGACTGTGCTCCAGAAAAGCTGGAGCTGAACTTCTTAGAAAATTCCTTAAGCAAGTGGAAAATGAACCGTGCGTAGTTTAACTGGACAGTGTGCTTAGATTTTCACTTACAGAGATCAGAAGGAACTACTTACTCTTGCCTGGATTTAATTTCAATGCTGGAAACATTAGCAAAGCTTTGGAGTAATGTGCTTCAAAGGAGATGCTGGAAACCTGATCTTGTTAGCGTAAAACATCACTTTACTTTGCAATGTAGAAGTATAAGCCACTGGAAGGTTTTTTTGGTCCAGATGCGGTTCTGAGTTAAATTCAGAGCTGGTGCAACTTCATAGATACACTGATGATACTGGTGAAGCCACATCTTCTCCCCTGCCTGTTATAAATTTGGCATCCAGGCCTGAAGTTTGTTGTGTTATCAGCTACAAAATGCCACCACTGCGAAGTGCTGAACTCGTGATTCTCCAAGACCATTACCAAGGGCTGAGGAGCAACCCTGCTGTTGCTTTTGGGCTGGTGGATGCTGAACTTCGACACATTCACGCATATCACTTTGGTCCTACAAGAAGGGTGTGCAGGCATCTTTTATTGGCCTCTATTCATTCAGGCATAGGACCAAATATGGGCATTTCTGGAGCAAAATTAGGGGATTGAAGAGTGCCTGGTACCTGCCCATCTTCATCTGCACTGGCTCCTTTTGAGCTTGCACTCAGTCTGGTTGAACAGATCCATGGGCAGGTCCCCGCTCCCTTCCCAATTCCCTCAGCACTTACCTTGACAGGATCAGCCAATTCCCAGTCTTCAGCCCCAAAGTACCAGTCTCTGAAATAGGATTAAAGCATTAACTGATGGGAATGTCCATGGTTCCCTGGCTGGTTGTCCTGCCTTCCTCCTGCTGTCATGGATACTCCTCTCCCACCTTGAAGAAAAATGCTCTCTTTGGTTTCAGAACTCTTCTCCCCTGTCCAGGTCAAAACCACATTCCCATCCACACTCCTGTCTTTTTTCTCAATGCCAGGATGACCAAACCCTTTGGATTAAAGCATTAACTGATGGGAATGTCCATGGTTCCCTGGCTGGTTGTCCTGCCTTCCTCCTGCTGTCATGGATACTCCTCTCCCACCTTGAAGAAAAATGCTCTCTTTGGTTTCAGAACTCTTCTCCCCTGTCCAGGTCAAAACCACATTCCCATCCACACTCCTGTCTTTTTTCTCAATGCCAGGATGACCAAACCCTGGCTTTTTCTACCTCTCAGAGGAGTGATGGCCTCTCAGCTCTGAGAAGGATTTCAGGGACTCCAGCTCCACCACATTAACTATATGCAATAGCCCTTGATAATTTGGTCCTGCAGGGTTCAGAAAATCTCCTAGAAATGCTGTGTGCCCTCAGTAACCACTGAAATCAGGACAAATAGTTACACACCCTGTCCTTAGTGAAGCATCTAGCAGAGGCATGTCCTAGCTGAGATGGCCTGACCCACACTATCAGAGGTATTTGAAAGTCTGCTAGGGTTTACAAAGTTTCTCTGTAAGTTAGATATCTAAAATCCATTAATATTTCACTCTGGGTAATTTTCTAATTTGCCTTAAACTGGAAAGTCACCATTCCTTGGCTTTAACCTTCAACCTTTTGCAGGCCCCAGTCATGTGGTGTGGAGCAAACGCCATCTTAGCTCTTTGAAGGCAAACCAGACACTGTTGGGCTGCCATAATCAACATTTAGTCACCTGAAAAGCCTGCCTTGGTCTTTTGAGGGCACAAAATTGAATTTGGCAGAGCTGCAGTGCCATCTCAGTGTTTTAGAAGCAGGGCGCTTCAAATACTTTTTGCTTTTCTGGTGCAGTGTGTCTGAAAACTATGAACTCAGACTGTTCCTCACATTTCCAAGTTCAAGTGCCAAAAGAGAAGAACATGCTGCAACTGAACACCATTAAAACCAGCTTTATTACATGTGGATAAATATAGTCTCAAGGGCTCCATTTTGGTGCTAAAATATGTCACGCTGTATTTTCCATTGCTTAGGATTACAAAGCTGATTCCCTACTCCAGAAATTTTTTTTCTGTAATCAGCAACGTCTTAAGCATTAGGATTTTATTTTTTCTCTTGTGTCTGTAGATTTTTAACTCAGATGATATACTCAACAAATACTTCTCCCTCCTCCTACCCCCAATCATGTGAGTTTTGGGTAAGTTCTATACAGTCTATTTATGCAAAAACTCTTTCAAAATGTTAGTGTATGTATACTTTCCCCTCATTATTACTCTTCTTCGCATCAGCTGACCCATAACTAAGGGAATCTGTTACTCAGGATTTGATCCAGAAGTAACTGAAGTTAGTGAAAGGCCCCTCACAGATTTGTGGGTTGTGGGACCAGGTCTTCACCAGATTCGTTCGCTTAGAAGTCCAAAAGTGTGCAGTTAATTAACATAAAATGTAAACCCCTCCTTCTCCTCGCAGGCAGAAATCCAGCTGAAATCTGCCAGACTTAACAAGAGAGGGCTCGTGTCCTGAGGTGCTCATGAACTCCCAGTAAAGGAGCAGAAGCATTTAATGTTCTCATTTATTCTTTGGTACAATACTCCATCAAGAAGTGCAAATGATCTTAATGGCTGGATTTAGAATATGAGCCAGTCATCAAAGATGAGAGTTTTACAGCCCAGTAATCCTTTAAATGTCAACCTTCCTGCAGAAGGGGAGTGTTTTTGCAACGGCTTAGTGCCATGCTCTGGAATTCTCTTGCAGAAGGCATGTGAACTGTACAAAACCAACATGGGACATAGTTTTAGGACGGTGAGACATACTCATAGACTTTCTCTTGTTTCAGTCTTTTGTGTGAATTCTTACCTTGAAAAATATCTCATTTTCTCATGGTTTAAAACTCCAACCTCTGTAATGTCATGAGCAAAATACAGTTTTTATCCATTATCACACTACAGATGAGCACAGAGGTGTTTTGTTGACAAGCAGATAGGTCAGGTGAGACAAGAAGATCTTGTCTCTCTCTCACCTTGTTGAAGAAGTTATCCATGCAACCTGGAGGATAGACGCTCCCCACGGCTCACTGTGGAGGGACAAATGTTTCCAGTGATGCTGTTGCTGGATAGATCACATAGCCCAAGTAGCCTAACACAGCAGTTCAATTGCCATGTGGCTACCTCCTCATAGATATTCCTGGTTTTCATGTCTGTCAAGGGACAGACGTGTCCCACGTGGGAGAGGGAAAAGAAGATTTTGGGGAAGGAGAGAGGTTGGAGTTCTGTACTTGAGTTATTTTTGTGGAGAGGGACCTCTCACAACAGGGAAACATAGAATCACAAAATCATTTAGGTTGGAAAAGACCTTTAAGGACTTTGAGTCCACCAGTAAACCTAACACTGCCAAGTACACCAGTAAACCATGTCCCTAAGTGCCAGCTACCGTCCATGAGCATCATTCCTGAAGGCTTCTTTGAGTCTTGTTCATAGCAGAGATGCTTTGAGTCCTAACTGGGTCCAGATGAGAGGGAGGAAAGAAGCTGGCAATACACTCAGAGCTACAATTCTGGCAGGTTCATATTTTATTTCCCTGGTGGAGATACAGGAATTTGGCTTAGGTGGCTCTAGGCTCCTTGGCTGGGTAGTAGGGAAAAATCAGTTTTTCTTCCTTGTACTTTTTTCCTGCCTTGTACCCTGTCTCTTTTGGGCTTGGGGGCTCAAGAATCTCCTCTTGCACCTTTCAGACCTCCACAGGAAATGTCAGGGGCTGAAACTGGAGCTCTGTCCTATAGAAATAGATGACATTGCCCTGAGTTCAGGTTGTGGGTCTACAAAACACTGTGTTACGCTGTGACAGGATGAGAACAATCATTCCCAAGTCAGCCCACTTGCTCATTGCTGTTCTCATCTCATTGGAGATTCTGGACGTTTTATCTACTTATAAATGTACGCGTTGTATTTCCCAATCCCTATTCCACCAAACTTGGTCAGGATGTGCTGAAACGTTTAGTAATTCCAGCAGCCTTCACCTTCAGGGACCTGCTGCTGTTCTCATCTCATTGGAGATTCTGGACGTTTTATCTACTTATAAATGTATGTGTTGTATTTCCCAGTCCCTATTCCACCAAACTCGGTCAGGATGTGCCGAAATGTTTAGTTATTCCAGCAGCCTTCACCTTCAGGGACCTGCTTGCTAGAGGACACTCACCTGCAGAGTGGTGCCATGACAATTCCATGGACACAGCAGGGATGTCCAGTACAGCCAGGCATTTGCTGCAGCATGATCCAACAGCAACAAAAGTCTCAATTGCAGGCTTTGAAGGGAGTTGAGGCTTCTCATGTGCCATGGTAGGACAATACAAGTGCTTAAATCCTCCTGTCTCTTATGGAACAACAAAAATTATCTCCACATCCAGCAGTTATGGTCCATTCGTGGTGATGCACGTTGGAAGCCTTTGAATTATTTTGCATTCCAGTTTGTACTGAAGATTTGATTCAAACTTTGTGTATATAATCCCTTTGGTGTGTTACAAATATATGTGTATATATATATGTATATATATGTGTGTGTGTATATGTATGTGTATATATATGTGTATATATATACATATAAATCAATCAATGCTGGTGTTTTTACTTTTTAAAGTTCACAGGGCAAAGGGCATGTTGTTAGTTTGCTGTAAGATTCTATTCTGTATATATGTTTTCATGTAAATAAGTGAAAATCTATATTCAGAGTTATATTTTAATTTTTATTCAAAATGAAATAAATCCCCTTTTTACTTGAAACAGTTGTAAGCCACGTTGTTAATAAAGTAACAATAAATCATTTTTCTCTCCAGGGTAATTTCTTATTTGTCTAGGCAAAAGTTGCGAGTTGTGTTTTGATGTAGTTGTTGATCCCAGAGGAAGTGAGGTGAGAAAGCCATCTGCCTGGCTTCACTGCTAATACCAATTTAGCTCCATCTTGAGTGACCTCACATGTCTTCTCGGACAGGCTGGTCTGGATTTGTCCGTTTTGGTGTTAGACACTTGCAGAGGCACCTCTGGAGGCTCCCTTTTTATCCCTAGAGGGAAGCACCTGCAATGAGATTTAGGTTGGCCAAGTTGAATCACCCTAGGGACCTGCCTTTCTTCGGCACCTTTGGAGGATATCTAGAAAAGGTGAACTCCTTCGTTTAGGTTAATACTAAGAGTGAGTGAACCTGAGCCAGTAGCCAGTCTATGTGGATGGGTGTAGATAGAAATCAGCTGTGGTTGCATCTGTTAGAGCACCATGCACATACAACAGCATGACTTCCAGGCAATGCAGGCTCCTGTCCAAGCAGAGGTTTGTCTCCTTGTCTATGTACTCTGTGTGTTCCATACCCCAGCCCTAATGAATGTGCCAGAGCTGTCTGGATCACACTCCTCTCCTCACTGAGCCACCAAACCTCCAGGTAGGTGCAACACAGCCTCCCTGGCTCAACCCTCCATAGGTGCCAAGCTAGAGCCTCAGTTTGTAGGATTTTGGTTTATGTGACTGCAAGTTTTTCCTCGGAGTGGTGTGACAGAACATAAATAAGAAAGGTGGTGAGTGAATGGACACAAGAACATCTGAGGACCTTCTAGGACAGTGAACAGGGGTGAAGGACAGGGATGAAGGTAACACAATGATCAACAGGCAAGGAAGGATGTAGAGAGAGAGGAGCTGACAGTGGCAGGACAAGAATTACAGCAGGGCCACACCACATGGAGCCAAAACACAGTGAATAAAACTTCCCGTGCTGCAGAACAGCCGTTGGACATGGAGGGAGGCCTCTGAACAGCATCCTGAGTCCTGCCCAGAAACTCATAGAATCACAGAATCATAGAATGGTTTGGGTTGGAAGGGACCTCAAAGATCATCCAGTTCCAACCCCCCTGCCATGGGCAGGGACACCTCCCACCAGACCAGGTTGCTCAAGGCCCCATCCAGCCCAGCCTTGAACACCTCCAGGGATGGGGCATCCACAGCTTCCCTGGGCAACCTGTTCCAGTGTCTCACCACCCTCATAGTAAAAAATTTCTT